TTCTGTTTTCCTTTTTCCATAGGCCGAGGGACGCACACGAAAAGCAGGGGGGCTGATATAAGGTGGACAATGCCCAGCATAAGTGAGCTAATAAATGTACAGAAAATTTCGACAGCAAACATTTACTTAAGCAATCGGGAAAGGAAAGGGGGCGACCGAGGAAATCTGAGACGTTCAACAGGAGTGAATGAATAAGTGCTTTTACAGTGAGGGAAAATGTCTTTAAAACAGCTAAATAACCTTATCATCTATTTATATTATAGCTTTATAAAATAATTAAATTAAAATCTAAAGGGTAAGATTAGTCACTATATAATTATTTACATAATTGGTTATTATTCCCTTTAAAAGACATTTTTTCTTAAAAAATCTTTCATTGAATACAAATAGTTTCTAATTTTTGAAAAACCCATTATAAATAATTCCTTATTATTCCAATTTAAATGAATTTAATATTGTTTATCCTATTTTACATATTATCCTTATAGAAAGAAGCCCTTTAAGATCTGGGTAAAAATTAAAAATTCTAAATATTAAAAGCTAATGGCATTAGTACTTTCCCCTGTGCATTTTTGTACAAGTATTATATTTGTTTCTTGTGTGTGAGTGGTGTCAAGCCACAAACACCTTTTGCGTAAAATAAAGCAATCAAGCAAATAATGTTGCCACATTACACTATCAACAGCTTCCTGCTTCCTTGACACAAACACACACACATTCATTCAGATTCAAGGAGCCGAGGGGAAAGCTGGGAGAAAGGAGAAAGTAGCCACTCACAAGCTGGGGAAATTCTTTAATAGCTCTCACACACACACACTCAGGCATTCAGGACAAAATGGTTGTGCAGACTAAAGTAAAATTGAAACAACCTTGAGGAATGCCGGAGCAAGCACACACACACACACGCAGAGAAAACACCCACAAACACTCACACACACAGACGGAGATGCAGACTGAGAGGCAAAAGTGTCTGGCAAAATGTCTCGACTCCTGAATTTCCCCCCTGAAAGCCCCTGAATTTCCCACCCCACTCCTTTTCCTTTTCCTGTCTCTGTGACCGACTCAGTGTGGAAGTCAAGGCTTTGAGTCAACCGACGACAAGGTTGTCCTTGTTGAGTAGCAGGATAAGGAAGGAGTCACCCCCCTTCCCCTTCCCCTGCTCCTCCTCCACTTTCCCTTTCGGGCTGCCTGGCCAAAACTGCACATGCTACTACGAGGACTACTGCTGTGCCATATTTAACAAATTATCTGTAATTTCTCGAGAGCAGCAACAGCAACTTGCAACTTGGCAACTTGGGGCTTCAACCCGACTCAACTCCACTCCATTTCGGCTCAGTTCAGCTCGGTTCAGCTGCATCTTGCCGCCGAGCGTGGGGCCAATTGCCGGGTCACAGGCACTTCCCTGCGTTTAACCCATTGGGTAAATCCCTGAAGGGATTTATAGCTACTTAAGAACATCTTAATTTGAACCAGAGAAAAATCTAAAGCATTTAAGATTAATTTAAATCTTTAAGGCGGATATTAAAGGTACTATTAGAACATTGTTTTAAATAATACAACAAAAATTAAAAGGTCATTGAACTTCAATAGATTATGAAAAAGTCAATATTCAATATAATCAATATTTACAGCCTTTAAAAAATGTTTACCACTCGAAAATCTGCTATTTATTTAAATTTATTAAGTAAACTTCTTAAGATTAAAATATCACTAAACAAGACAAATAAATGCTGGGAAAATATGTTTAAAAAGTATTTAAAATAAAATCAATCTTCTATTTTATATTATTTTATAAGTTTTTAACTGCACAAAAGAGTTAATCTACAAAAAATATTTATAAATAAATATATATGTACATTGTACAAGGTTTAAAAAAATATTTTTCTATTTTTCAGATTATGCCACATAAAAGCTTTGCAGGAAAGTAAAAATGAGCTAAAAAATCAAGACTCCCAAGTTTCCTAGTACAAAGTATCCTTTCAAAGCCAAAGTTCCTGTGTCGCCACAAGCCTCTCAGTAAAATCCAGAACTCAACGGGTTAAGGCGGCGCCAAACCACTTGTCAAGATGGCTAACGGCAGAGTGGCTGCTAACTGTTGCAGAGGCAGCAGTGGTGGTGGTGTCAAGTGGGCAAAGGGGGAAAGCAGAAGGGGGCTTTGGGGCTTGCAAAAGGAAAGGCAAGGCAAGGCAGCCAACAACCGGCAAACCAACCAGCCAGGATTTTGGGCTACAAGCAGCCGCAAATGCTTAACTTCAGACAGAGCCAGTAACCAGCAGGGGCGGGGCTTGAAAGGGGATCAAGGACGAGGAATAGAAGCAAGACAGACAGCAGGCGGCAACCACAGGCGAATTGCTGGCAAGGACGAAGCGAAAGGCAGGACGTCGTGGCTGGAAGGAAGTTGTTTGTGGGTCGCAATTCAAGGCTGACCGAGAACGAGAATGAGAACGAGAATGAGCATGAGACCCAGAACCAGACGATGCGATAGGAGACTCGACCCTTTGGCACTCCTGTTGCTCCTCTGCATCCTCCTTTTGGCCCCCCAAACCATCCCTTCCCATTTCTGGCATCTGAATCCGAATCCGAGTCCCCTGTCCAACCACCAAGTGGGTTTGTGTGGGTGTCTCACAAGATGAAAGCCACTTGCCATTCAGGACCAGTCGACGGCTGACTTCCTCGTTGGCGTCGCCACACTGAGAGAAAAGCTATTGCTCTAAACTATTGCTCATTATTGAACTATAGTTTCCTAAAGGATTTACTATAAAATAAACACATTTCTTTATAAAGCTTTTGTAAAATCAAGGAGAAATTGTTATTCTAAATATAAATATATATATATTTTATTTCAAAAGTTGTAGTATAATCTAATTTTTAACTTTTCGTAATCACAATGTTAAATTAAATAAATGTTAAAATAAAATAATAATACATAAGTTATGTATTATTATTATAACCTATTCTTTCCTTATAATTATTTGCGAAAAAACAATAGAATACCTATTATTTAAGTAAAAAGAATCATATCGAATATTTATTATTTATTTCTTTATTTAGGATTAGGTTAAAGGTGAAAAGTTTATTCTGATTTCTTGTCCCAATATTTTTATTCCCGTTTTTTTTTATTAAAAAAGAATTAAATGTTTATTAGTTATGGATTTAATACCAACTTAAAAAATAAAACATTTAATAATAATGATATTAATGATATTTTTAGTGATTATATTATTATGCAATGCCTTGTTATTTTCTTGGAGCTCTCGTTAATAAACCTGTATATTTTTCCACCTTCTTCTTAATTTCTCTCAGTGTCGGCTTTGCTTGCTGCCCGAAGGGTGGCCAACAACTGCTCCGGAATGACCTTGAGCATTACCACTGTTCTGCAGCTTGTCTCCCCTTTTCCCCTCTGCGGACAGCGTTTGGGAGCCCTTCTTCCCTCCTTCGTTGGCTTTTGGCTTCGCCTATTTATCTGCAGTCCACAGCTAAGGATGCCCGGCGTGTTCTGGATGTTTCCGGGGGACCAAAAGGACCAGACGGACCAGAAGGACCAAGTCGTGATTCCTGCGAGCAGACCGAGTTTTGCATCAAGTGCAAAGTGATGTGTTAAGCTGTTAAGTGCCAAAGTAATTGTTTTCTTTCACCGACAACAGCAGCAGCAACAAAGGGGCTGCTATGACGTCGCTTTCACTTGCCACTTGACCTTGAAAACTGCAAGGGTGTGAGTGGATATGGGGTGTGTGCTTCTGTGTGTGTCGGCATTGTTGTGGAGTCGTTCTGCCCCAAGTTGCACTTGCTTCGAGGGGCATTAAGTGAATTATGTCTTCGGAATTGGGGCCAGCAGTTGGCTGCCGAGGAAAGGCGATTCCCAGGAAGAAGGGGTTAAGTCAAGTGAAATGTCAGAAAGTGCCCGCAAAACCCTTTCCTTTTAATTTCCCCGGCCCTATTTGTAAGGGGATTATTTTTGCATATGCTTATAGCAATTTCCTTTGGCCGTTAAGCTGCAATTATTAGCCAATTTATCCTGACATACGAATTTTTCTGACTTTAAAAAGGTAATTTTGCGCAATTCAGAATGGCAAATTTATCGATTTTTTTTTACCAAATCTTGACTTTTAATGGCCAAAATAAGCAGTCCAATACCTCGTTGAGCTCGTTATAATATTCCCGATTGATTGGCATTCAAAACTGACATTTTTTATTTTTGGACAATTTTTGCATTCAAGTGGAAAGTTATATGAATCGTTAGCTAAGGTTCAGACCTTTTAAAACCAGTTCGTCTTACAGTTGTGTGTTTCATTTTACCCAAGTTACAACAGGAAAACCTTAATAAAACTAGTATTTTTGTAAACTTGTTAACCCATTCCCAATTAATTGGCATTGAAATAGAGAAATTTAGTTTTCAACTATTTTTTGCAAAAAATCAAATTCGAATTTTTTAAAAATTTAAAAAAAATGTTATTCATCTATAACGTGATGAGCATCGTTAGTTTAAGAGACCAGATATTCAAAAACCTCGCCTCAGGGTTTTGAGTCGCATTTTGGCCAAAGAATCCTGAAAACGTCCCTATAAAAATCCTATTTTTCAAAGGTGAAATCCCCTTCCATTTTCCCCCCATCAATAAAACATCAAAAACAGGTTGGATGACAATTAGCTTTTCAATTTGTTTTTATTTTTCTGTTTATTGTTGTATAATTTACTGTTTAACTAAACTCAAGAATGCCTCGCGCATCTTTGGGGATAGATAATAATAATAATCGTAATAATAGGTATAATAATAATAATAGTTCACTCACAGAGTACGGACAATACATATGTAGTCGAGTGTTTGTGTGTGTTTGTGCGATGGTGTGTGTGTGAATGGGTGTGTCTGTGTGTGATTGTTTACATAAAATTAGCACAAATTTAATGTGATGCTGCCTGCGTTGTTTGCTCATTCGTTCATTTACAATACAATTTACGATTACCATAGAAGAAGTGCTGCGAAGGGGCTTTTTTGGGGTTTTGGGGGGTATTTTGGGGGTAGGTAAGTCTAAGATTAAGTCAAAGCCTAAAGCTATGGAAATTTGTACATTATTTACAGTTACATTTGGAAATACCATTAATATAAGTATATGCGTACGTGCGTATGGGTATGCACTTCTATCTGTGTGTTTTGGGGTTTATGTATATCTAAAGTATTTGCGTATGTTTATATATATAAAGTTGTAATTACCGGATTTGACAACATTCAGTGTGTGTTTTTGTATTTGTGAACTATTCTAGGGTTAAGCTACATTTAAGAAATGCACAAGTCTCTAATCGTAACTTTAATTATTTTACGGTTACGTTTTACTGTTTATTGTTAATCGTTAAACCTATTTTTATTATTATTACTTTTCGCGTGGCAAAAAAGGCAATCAACGCAACGAATTCTCTCGAAAATAAATAAGACAAATTACGAGATCCTATCCTTACAGGAAAGTTCCGAAGTATGTATGTGTGTGTGTTGGGTTTTGTGTTGTATTTTGGGGTGTGCTTTAATAATAGGTTAATACTTTATACCATCCTCTCTTGTTACGCCCTAAAACTAGCCTAGGCGTACAAACCAGTTAGCAACTTCAACTAAGCACTAGACACTAAAAACGTTGGGGTTCAAGTTGCAGTCCAAATGTTGTATATTTTTGGGTTTTAGGGTGGGCCAATGTTTTTTTAGAAGCCAGTAATCTTTGGACATTTTGGGCTATTTTTCTAGGGAATAAAACCTAAGCCAAAACTGATATTTGTTAGAGTGAAATGTGTATTTTATTCCACTAATTATTCTTTTATTTTTTATTATATCAGTCATAAATGTAACTCCCTTTTAAACGCATATATTTTACAAACTAAAATTGATAACTAAAATCATAATTACTTACTCTTGATCCAAGGATTACTTAGCACCCCCTTTTATCGCTCTTTTTTCTTTTGGTTCACCTAATAATGGGCCCACCCTAAAGAGTGAGCATCCCCCCTGGGGCCTGCGCCCCTGCCCAGGATTCAATCCTCGTGCGGCAGTTCGGTGGCATGCTGCTGCTCCAGCTTGATCTTCATGAGCGGCGACTCGCGGATGGCTCCTCCTCCTCCGTTTCCACCTGCTCCGCCGGGAGGCGCATAGGCCGCTGCCGCCGCAGCAGCTGCAGCCGCATCGGGATTGGCGAAGAGTTCGCTCATATCCTGGCCGGGCCCCGGGAAGAAGTCCTCGAAGCGCGGGCTCTTGTTCACCGACTTCTGCAGCAGCCCGTTGGCAATGGCCTCGAAATCAATGCCGGCGGGCAGGCTCTCCAAGAACCTCTTGTTATAGGCACTCGCCTGATGTTTGGCATAGTGGGCGGCGGAGTAGGGGGAGGCGGCTCCGGGTCTTTGGCTGGCTGTCAGGGATTTGGCACTGCCGGAACCGGAACTCGATCCCCTCGACTGGCTGCCATATTGCCGGGAAAGCTCTCTCTCCCGCTCCCTCTCCCTGTCGCGCTCCCTTTCGCGGGACAGCTCGCGGGCATAGGAAGCGGCACTATTCGGAGCAGCACCTCCACTTCCGCCGCCCGATCCTCGCGAGGGCATCACATTCAGCCCGGGAAGACCCATCAAACCCAGGGCACTCAGATCCGGGAGATTTTCCGAACCCCTTTGCTGATTTTTAGCCGCCGCCGCTGCCACGGCCGCCGCTGCGGATACTTGATCTTCGATCTCGGATCTCTGCAGATAAGCCGGTGATTTATACATATTCATCGACTGTCCGTGGGGCGACTGCTGTTGGTGGTGCGACGAGGGTTGCTGCTGGTGGTGCGACTGTTGCTGGTGGTGCTGCTGTTGCTGCTGTTGTTGCTGTGAGAGGATCTGGCGACGCAGGGTCTCCGTCATGGAACTCAGAGGACTTCCTGCATCTGGAGGAGCTAAAGAAGCATTCTGGGCCGCCATCTTGGCCGCCGCTGCACTGTGATAGCCATTCGAAGTGGTTCCGCCGCCAATATAAGACTGTAAATATAGGGGAAATAAGGGGAAAGGGGAAAATAGTGGGTTAAAATCGTACATAGTTAGCTTTCCCAATTAAGAAATATTAAAAAGAAATAAGAAAAAAGCAATATCAACAAAAAACCATTCCTTTCATTAGCTCATCTTCAATTATAAATCCTTACTAATGTGCTATTTTAGTTGAAATCACAAATAAATTGGCTTTGAGTTTATATATATGTAGAAACTAGACCTTGGCGCCTCTAAAATAATATAATTACATTTTTTGTTTACACAAAACGAATTCCACCTGACTTGAATAAAATTAGTACAGCCATTAATTCCGGCCAATGAAAAATGTTTATTATTATTTTGCCATTTCTTTCTCAAATAACATTTAATGGCCTTATAAAATATGTTCTAAGAAAATTCTTTGGTAGATTGATATTATTGGAAATAATTTTTCCATAGAATGTGAACATATTTTAGAACTTTTTAGGATTATAATATTTTTTCTTAGATTTAAATTATTGCGATTATTAATTCCAAAAAAATCTAAAAATATTTTTAAATTTTTTAAACTTATAGTTCGGTGTTTAAAAGTATTGCTCTATTTGTTTCAAAAAAATATATTATAATTAAAACACAAGGCTTAAAAAATAAGTAATGTAAATAAATATTTAAAAAACCTTAAATTTAGGAAGGTAATAAATAAGTACTTACAGTATGACCCTGTCCATTGGCATACTGGTGGGCGCCCATGTCCTCCTTGATCTCGCGATAGTCCCTGAAGACCACCGCCTTGATGACGCTGCGGATGAGTTCCTCGGGCCACATGCCCAGCAGGATCCTCTGCGGACGACCCCTGGCCTTTGGTCGAGGATCAGCGCCTCCATCCAGCGAGGGTCCCAGCATATTGTGCACCCTGTTCGCGTACAGAACGAAGGTGGGATAGGGGATGTCGAACTTGCGGGCGGCCTGTGAGAGGGAGAGTCCCTCCTTGAGGACACTGAAAATAGCTTCGGCCATGGCTTCCGGGCGCCAGGACTTCAGGGGTCCTCGCTCGCGGAACCTCAGCTGCTGCACCAGGTTCTGCTGATTGGTATTCCAGCACTTCTGCCACATGGACTGCAACTGATACTGGTAGCTATCTGCTGGAAGACACATCACGCGGACATTATGAAAAGGCTGCAAGGGAATCCGGTTTTAGTAGGGGAACACTTACCCGCCACTGAAGCTGCTCCGGTTGCTGCGGCTGCGGCTCCCATCCAGCCACCATGTCCTCCACTCTCAATCATCTTGGCCTGGAAATAAATAAACAGGGAAATTTTGAGTTAGTTTAGTGAAATACATTAATCTTAATATATTGAAATATAGTTTTTAAAATAAATTAAATTATCTGATTCTAATTGAGATTATAATAACAATTTTTGAAGAAATAGTAATTCTTTTTAAAATTTTTAATAAATAATCCAAATATAGGAAATTCTGCAATAGTTTTCTTCATGTTTTAAAAATATTTCAGACCCTCATTTAATTTATTGAATATTTAAATCATTAACCTTAAATGCCTGACAAATATTGAGAGCTTAAAATGTATGAGCCACCTTTGCATAATAACAACTAAAATATATTCCACAGCCATAACCTTTTACATTTCCCTCTTTCCGTCTTTTAAATAATTAGGAAACTTTGCATACCAGGTATCTCTACTTTTTTAAGTCGGAAAATGGAAAACTCGGCCCAATCGCTAGTTTTTCTCTGGCCCTGTGACATTTGCACACGAATTGTGGCTGGCCGTAAAAGTTTATGATTGCCATAAATGTTGCGAGGGCATTTTCATATGCAAAAGGAGAGAAAAGGCAGGAAAGCCGAAAGCAAATTAGTATACAAAGTGGGGCCATCCCGACCCCCCCATTGTCTTGGCGGCTTTTTACGGCCAAAAAGGCTTTGGCTTCGACTTTACCCAGCGGAATGCACAGAAAAAGCCATTTATTTATTGCTATTATTAGGAATTCAGGGGGAAGTCGCCTCTTTGCCGCTTAATTGAGCCCGCCTTTAACCCTTTTCGGCCGTATTAATCAGTGGGCAAAAAAGCAGGGGCCATTTAGGGGTTAACTAAAACTAAAAACTGAAATGGAGAGAATCCCCATTTTTTTGCGCTCCACGGAGGCATAGGAAAAGTTAAATTGATGCACGTTTCGTGCCTCCGAAACCGAAACTCCGAAACTGAGTCTCTGGCCATAAAGCCTTCCTTTTGGCCAGCTCTCCAGTTGGCCCGTTGGCCAGTGGCTGGCCACGCCCCCTCCGCGCACGTAGCCATGCATTTTATATGCAGGGGCGTAATACAAATTATGTGCAGCGAGCATGAGGCAAGGAAAAAAATACAAAAAAAATAGGAGAAAAATAAAAACTACAAAACAAAGCGATGGTAAAAAAATGCAGCGCATAAAGAGAACATATAATGCAAGTCTTAAATATTTGAGGAGTAGGCGCCGTAGAGAACCGAAGAACCGAGTGAAAACTGGAACTGGAAAAACTCCCATATACTCTGCATGCCAAGGAAAAAGGTCATAAAACGTATGAATAATTGAAATTGAAAAGTCGGAAGCATTTTTACATTTTTACAGGCAGCTCGTAGTGGCAGTAACTGTAACAAATGCGGCCGAGCTGCAAACAAAATGGCGTTAAAAATGCTATTTTATGTAAAACACTTTGTTAATGACGCCAGCGCTTTTTTTCTGAGTTTGGTTCAGGTTTTTAGATGCGGCGGGGGGCGGTGACTTATGGCCGGCAGTGTGGGTTAGTCGGTTGTAAATAGCTGAATTACTGGTAAATAATGTTGGGTATCTGGGGGAATTATATAACTAATTATTACAGATTTATGGGATTTACTAAATGTGTTACGAGAATAAATATATTATTTATAAATATAACAATTTTTAATTAATTATCGAAAAATATATAAGAATATAAAAAATTCCCATTGCCAAAAAAAAATATTCCCAAGGGTTTCTAAAAAAAAACACAAAAATATCGACAACAAACTTAATTATAAAGTCGCCAAATGATATAATTTGTTTTTTCCAATGTCGGGATCGTAAAGTTTAGCTTCTCTAGCATTTGTCGGAGATTAATCAACCCCCCTGTCAGCCATTCATCCATTTATTCGTTCAGAGTGGCGATTATAAAACTCTCGCATAGTACAATTCATATAATAAAATATTACGAGCTCTGCTCCGAAAATGTTTAATTAATTAAATTTTCAATTCCCCCTTGGGTTGGCATTTCCTCTCAGCAAAGCCCCCCTTGCAACCCCCCTGCCACGCCCCTGCTGCCTGAACAAAAACAAATTTAAAGTGTGCGCGCATTCAACTTTCTTTCAACTCATTTAATTTAATTTGCGGCGCTTCGCTGCTGACGTCGCTGCCTCTGCTTCTTCTTTCTACAGCTTGTTCTGCTTCTTCTTCTCGCTCTCTTCTTCTTCTTGCCAATTACTCATCGTGTGCACGCCCCATTCACATAATAATTTATTTAATTAACTTTTCCGCTGCTACAAATTTCTATAAAAATTTATTGATTTTTGTTTTCCGCTTTCCCCCGGTAAAGAAAATATTTTTCGTGGCCCGGGTACGTTTTCAATACTTTTTTATTTGCACCCACACTTGGAGATCTCTTTCCCTCTATATATATAAAGATATGGGTTTATATATATGGATTTCTATAACTTTGTGTGTGTCTGTTGGCAATAAAATATAAATTTATAACACGCCCTCACACTCGCATTTGCCATCAATCCAAATGCATAGACTACTCAACCCCTTCTTCCATTGCCCCTCCACGCCCCTGGCTTTCAACAGCCTTCAAGTTTTCACTACATCGCGGGTTAACCCCCCTTCAACCCCCTTCTAACCGCCTCCCCTTCTCTGTAATACCCCTTGGATTCTAATGCAATTTTAATTTTATTTTTCAAGCGCGCACATAAACTCAGCACTCGCCCCCTTCCGCCCGCTGGAAAAGCACTAAAACTACACCATTTTCCCCATTTCCCCGGCATGTCCTTTATCCTTCCTCCCCCTCTTCCCCTCCCTTGCCTTCCTTGGAACTTTTGCTGTAGTTTTGCTGTGTGTATATTTCTTATATTATATAACACTTTATTTATTATTCATTTTCGATTCGTGTTCCACCGTGGTGGCGTCTCAAGTTTGTTATTTCTCTTGTCTGCAACTTGCTCACCACAAGACCCCAAGTTTCCCACCCCTAACCTCCTGTTAACCCCCCTAAACACCCCGCCTGTCAGCGTTCATCCACTTATTCAGGAACTTTGCGATTATCAACTTGGCGCTTAGTGGGCAAGCATATACTAAATTTCCTGGGCTCTCGCTCGCTTAAATGCCTTCAATTAATTACTACTGCCAACTAGTTTTCTCTCTCTAGCTCTCGCTTTTCCGCCACTTCCGCATTTCCACTCTCTTTTTGGCAGCCAGAAAGTGGCAGAATAGTAGGTAGCTCCCTGTTCATTCACTTATTTGTATTACTCAGCCAGTCGCACGCATGCCACCCACTTTGCCACCCGCCCACTTTGGCCCCCCATTTCCGGCAACCTTGGCCACGTTGTCTTCTTATAGAAATAGCTACTGTTGTTTGTGCATTGGAAAAAAATTATGATCTAATTTGGGAATTAATTGCGGAATTATTTGTATTTAAATAGATTTTTTTTGGAAATCTTAAGTTTTTTATTTTGAGTTTTTGCGAGTTTTATTAAATCAATACATCAAATATTTTCGTAAAAGTTATTTAAAATTATTTTAGTAAATTAAAAATGATTTAATATAAATATTTCAAAATTTCGTATATCAACCATTAATTTTTCTCTGTGTAACCACACCTTCTTGTTCTGCAGTTGTGCCCGTTGTGCTATTCATTAATTTTCTAAGACGCCAGAAATAATTCATTTAAGAACAAACGACCCCGGAGACTACAATTATCGAGTCCTCTGGACTGACACTTTTCATCGGGGATCCCGCGAATCGATTTGCATTTTTCGTAAATTTGTAAATCCCATCTCCAATCGCAGGGCCCCCGAATTTCTAATGGGAAAGAACACCCAGGGTAAAAGGTTCCTTGGCTCCTGTTTTTTGTTTGCCGCAAGACAAAAACGTCGACGTCGGCGGCAACTAAATATTTAATAGTATTTTATTGCACGAATTTCACATAAAATATGCATATTGGCCCAATGCATTATTCATGGGAATAATGTGAAAAACACATTTCGCGATGGGGCGGGGAAAAGCTACTGTGTTGTGTGTGTGTATATGGGGTATATAGATACTTCTTGACTACGATATCTGGTTTCTTTCACCCTTTATATATATATCGGAATATAAGGTATAGGAATATAATGAAATGCAAGAGAGCCAAACAACAATAAACAATTGCAAGTCCAAGGAATTGCAGGGGCCACAATAATTGTAGCAATCATAAAGCCAAGTGCGAGTGCATGAAGCTCGCTTTTCCACTTTTCCACTCCCTTTCGGGAAACCCCCCTGAAAGTTTTCCACTGCCACAGCACTGGAGTAACAACTACAACTCACCTCACAACAATGGCAACAATAATTTAAATGTAATAAATAATTATACGCCAAGTGTTGAGTGCAACGTGCATTGAGGTGTGTCAAGTTGCCGACTAACTGGCAACAGAAACAACAGCAACAGCAGCAAAACAGCAACAGCAACTTCAACCGCAGCCGACAACAGAAATTGCTATAAAACATTCAAATGGGCCGCCGACTTCTTTCAGACCCTCCAAACTCGAAACTCGAAAATACCGCGATCCGAGGCACCCCTTTTCATCCCTCCGCCCCTGAGTGTCCCCCCTCCCTCCTCATTCCTTTCTGTGTGTTTGCTGGCTTTATTGTTGACCCCTCCCAA